TGTTAAAAAAAAAAAAAAAAAGAACCTCGGGCTCCTGCCTCCTAAAGAGACCAAAGCAGGATCCTGCCTCTTTCCTTGCGTATAACTTGAGTCCCTAAGAGATCACTTCATGCTCACTTTTTCCTGCTCATTGGAAGATGGAACTGAAGAATCTTCTTAATTTTACTTTGCAGGGACTAAAATAAAAACGATGCTTATTTTACTTCCTCTCAAATGACTCAAAAAAAAAAAAACAACAACAAAACAAAACCCAAGAGTTGTCTGGCTCCAGGTATCTCTCATTAGGTGAAAATAACAGAAAAATCATATTACCCAACAGACTGAGCACACTTCAAGTAGTGAGGCTCCCTGCAGACGAAGGGGATGGTTTCAACTGCTAATCACGCACAAGTCCACTAATTTAACCCAACAGCATCATCTCCTGTTACGTCCTCTGGCTGAAGTCATGGTAATTTGCTATATTTGTAATGGGATTTTGATCTAGATGGAATGCAGTTCTATTTTTACAGTGTTACACCTTCTAGGAGAGAAGCCCTTTTCCTTCCTGTAATGCATTCATGAGCAAATCTTGTCATCACAGATCATTACTCTAGACCTGTCCAAATATGTGAATTTTTCCCTACCTTTTCTGCTCTACATCTTATTTCCAGGCAGAAGCAAACCAAAAGTGAGGCAGCAACAACTTCTTATATTCTCCGCAAATGACTCCATTTATTTTTTTAAAAGATATCTTGCCTAACTGTAGAGAGACTTAACTTTGTGAGAGCACCTTGTATTGACATTTCAACGTCTAAAATAATTCTGCCAGGCCTTTTGCAATCCCCTGAAACAATGGGTCACAATTTTTAATTAAAACAGAGGATTTTATAAAGGTCCCATGATATAGGCATGATTGATCAAATCATTGACCATTGGTAATTAGCTCAATACGCAGCTCCTCTTCCCTCTCCTAAAGTTGGGTGGTAGGGTTGAAAATTCCAACCTTCTGATCACAGGGGGGATTCCTCTGGCAACAAGCCCTCATCCTTAAGCTCTCTAAGGGCCCAACCAAGAGTCACCTCATTAGCATAAATTCAAATATGAGTGAAAGAGGCTTATTATGAATAGCAAAAGACACTCCCCTCACTCCTATCACTCAGGAAATTAAAAGGGTTTTAGAAGCTCTTGTGTCAGGAACCCAGGACAAAGACCAAATACTATAATAAAAGATGCTCCTGTCACCTACCACTCAGGAAATTACAAGGGTCTTAGGAATTATGTGCTAGGAACCAGAAGGAAGACATAAATACACATATTTCTTGTCATATCACAAAGCCACAGCTCATTGCAGCATCACCTGTAACAACCCAAGTATCTATCAGTAAGGGACCGGTTGGGTCCACAGCGGAGTATTATACAACCATGAAAATGAATGATGAGGAACATCATTGTATATGCTGTAAAGTGATCTCCAGGATGTATTATTGAGTGAAAAAAAAAACAAGGTGCAGAAGATAGCATATGGACTCCTTTAATCTGAGAAATGAGGTGGGTTACATATGTGTATATATACATGTATATATATATAGGATTATATTTTTTAAAAGGAAGGCTCAGCTAAAACTAATAAAAATCATCACCTATACGAGCTGTGAGGGAATTGAGGAGAAGGGATGGGGTTAGAAGTTAGACCTCCCTAAATGTACCTGGCTTTATAGTTTTAATTTGGGAACTATGTAAATGATTTACATAACCATTTAAAAATTAAATCAAAATAAACATATATATTTTATATAGAAGCAATTCTTACACAGGGTTTTTAGCTATAAGGTTGCTTGTTGCCTGCACCAAATGACCCCAGGTTGCTCTGGGGTTTCTTGAACATCTTTTTATGTTATTTCTGTTCTTTCACTTGCTGGTACTATCCCTCCCCTCTGTCCTCAGAGTGCCCTTCCCTATCCATTCCTAATTTAACATATATGTTAACCACACATTTAAACTTGTTACAGTTAGAGAGAGAATGACCACACATTCCCAGGACAATTTCAGGTTATACCTATCGTCTTGTATTTATTAACAGCATTTTTTTATTCTTGAATGTATTCTGGGCTTTAATAATAAATTGCTTAATCAACCTAGTTATATGCCATAAAAGAGGATATCTCTAGAAAAGGGCCTGATGGGCTCTACTTACCTGCCCTCCATTCAAGAGCTAAAGTGTAAGGCATTGTGGCTTTTCCTCAACATATATTGAGCATCTTTTAGTTGCCATGCACACTGCCAGTCCTTGCTCTCTCTTGGAGCTTATGGTATAATGAGGAGGTGACAGAACCATTAACAGATTATAAGGCAATGCCACGCATGTGTACGTGTAAAGATAGAAGCATGCACTTGGGTACCTTGGGCTACAGACCAAGGGCCCTTAGTCTAGCATAGGGTTTGTCAACCTCAGCACCACTTGCAATAGGGGAGAACAAATCTGACCCCCTATTAGATGTGTCCCTTTAGCGCTAAGCCTCTGCTGTTTCCTGTGCTTAGTCATGCTGGTTTTGCAAGTAACATTGAGGTCCTACCGTATACTCATAAGACAAGGTCTCTGCTGTCAAAGGTTTCTTTCAAAAAATCTAACTCATAAAAAAAATCAGAATAAAAAATAGTAAAATTGAGTACTAAAGATATTTTCCAATCCTCTGTTTCCTATCATTAATGAGGCAACTGGTATTGAAAGAATCCTTGCCTCTTTGAAGATAGTTATTCAAATCTACTTGTAGTTTTAATGCTATGTTAATATGAATATAATTCCCAACCCTTCCTTTCTTACTCTTCTTTGAAGGTTTTCTAATAGTGAAATATTCATAAATGTATAGCTTAATGAATATCTACGTAACCAGCATTAAGTCAGGAAACACAATCTCCAAGGTTCTCCATCCCCAAACCCCGACCCTGCCTCCCAGAATGACCTCGATTCTAACTTTACAAGAAGTACTTTGATCTTTATTTCATAGTTTTCACTGCTAAGTATGCATCCATAAACATAACAGTCTCATTTTGCCTTTTAAATATATTTATATAAAAAATCATATAATATTGTTTTGGGTTTTTTTCCTTCTATTTTTAAGGTGGTCTGTGTCACTGCGTGTAGCTATATTTCATTCTTTTTCACTATTGTATAAAGTAGTAGTACATGGGCACCACAACTTAATTAACTATTCTATTGTTGATGGAGAGTTCAGTTCTTGCCAGTTTGGGTGCACATAAGCACACACTTTGCGGGGTAAACACCTAAAAGGGATATTGCTAAATCGGAGTGTACACATTCTAGCTAGTGTCAAACCATTTTCCCAAGTAGCTGCACCACCTTCCACTCCCATGTGCAGTATATGAGGTCTTTTTGCCCTACATCCTCCCCAACTCGGGGCGTGTCAGATATTTTAATTCATGCCCATCTGGTGAGTATGGAGCAGTATGGACGGTAGTCTTATCTTCTGATTATTGACGAACTAAGCACCTTTTCAATCAACAACAGATAGCTATTTGCCATTGGATGTCTTCTGTGAAATTCCTATTCAAGTCATTTGCCCATTCTCTAACTGGACTCTTTGCCATCTTAATTTGGAGGAGCACTATCCTAGCAGTATTTGTTGCAAATCTCTCTCCCACTCAGTGCCCTTTCCTTGCTTTTCAACTTTGGAAAGCCAGAGTGACCTGACAGGAGCCTCACAGAGAGTTCCTGGAGTCCCAGAAGCTCTGCCCTTGACGTCATCAACACACCCCTTCCCCTCCTCTCCACCAGGACCGGGCAGGGCACCGTCACTGGGAGGCAGGGGC